TATCACTTCCAGTAATGACAATATCATCCACATACACAACTAAAAGAATGATACCAGCTGCCGATTGTTTGTAGAACACAGAATGATCAGACTTGCTTTTCATCATACCAAACTTTTCAACAGCCTGACTAAATTTTCCAAACCAGGCACGAGGACTCTGTTTCAAACCATACAGAGATTTTCGAAGACGACAAACTCGCCGACAAACTCGCCCAGACTCCCCCTGAGCAACAAAACCATGAGGTTGCTCCATATACACTTCCTCCTGAAGATCACCATGAAGAAAAGCATTCTTGATATCTAGTTGATGCAAAGGCCAATGATAAGTAGCTGCCATAGAAATAAACAAGCGAACAGATGTCAATTTAGCAACAGGCGAAAAAGTGTCAGAATAGTCCACTCCATAGGTTTGAGCATATCCTTTAGCGACAAGACGGGCTTTCAACCGAGCAACTGACCCATCCGGATTGACTTTAACGGTGAACACCCATTTGCACCCAATAGCCCGTTTCCCTGAAGGTAAATCGACCAAATCCCAAGTACCATTGTCATCTAAAGCATTCATTTCCTCAATCATCGCACGATGCCAACCAGGATGAGATATGGCTTCATGGACAGTGTTAGGAATTGAAATAGAGTCAAGTGAGGCAATAAAAGAAGAAGAGGATGACGACAAAGAGTTATAAGAAACAAAAGAAGAAATAGGATAAGTACAATGGCGTTTACCTTTGCGTAACGCAATAGGAAGATCATCGGTTGGGACTAGATCTGATGACGAAGGAGCAGGTATGGGACATGAATCAGGGGGGTTGCGCCTGGAGTAGACTTGATGTATAGGAGGCCTGACAGGAGCTTGTTCCGAGACAGATCCGGATGATGTGATAGAATAGACTAACAAATCATCATCCTCCCCTGGATGGGCGGGAGGAGGAGAAGATGGAAAATATGGTGTGTCTTCCATGAAGGTAACATCAACAGAGACAAGATATTTGTTAAGACAAGGACAATAACATCTATAACCCTTCTGAAGACGAGAATAACCAAGGAATATACACTTCAAAGACTTGGGATCTAATTTGGTTACATGCGGACGAACATCTCGAACAAAACAAGTGCTACCAAAGATCTTAGGGTCAACAGGAAACAATGACTTATTGGGAAACAGGATTTCGTAAGGGATCTCACCATGAAGAACAGAGGATGGCATACGATTAATTAGAAAACATGCTGTAGAAACTGCGTCGGCCCAAAAAGGTTTGGGAACATGCATTTGAAATAATAGGGCTCGTGCAGTTTCAAGAAGATGTCTGTTCTTTCTTTCGGCCACCCCATTTTGAGATGGAGTATCAACACAAGAAGTTTCATGAAGCATGCCATTTTGAACCATATAAGATTGAAATAAAGCGGATGTATATTCTTTGGCATTATCACTTCGCAAAGTACGGATCGAAACATTAAATTGAGTCTTAATCTCAGCACAAAACGTACAAAAAAGAGAAAACAACTCAGAACGACTCTTCATTAAATATAACCAAGTGACACGAGAATAATCATCCACAAAGGTAACAAAATACTTAAATCCAGGTTTAGATAAAATAGGACAAGGACCCCAAACATCAGAATGAACTAATTCGAAAGGAACACTAGCACGTTTATTAATTCTAGGACACGAACTAAGACGATGGTGTTTAGCAAACTGACACGACTCACAATCTAATGAAGACACCTTACTAAACTGCGGACAAAGCTTTTTGAGCAAAGGAAGAGATGGATGACCCAATCTACAATGTGCCTCGAAGGGAGAGGTTACACCAGAGCAAGCAACAGATTTTGGAATTAGTGTGTCAAGAATGTAGAGGCCTCCAGACTCATGTCCTTTACCAATAATCTTCTTCGTCATAAGATCCTGAAATAAGCAATGATCGGGAAAAAATGAGATGCAACAATTAAGAGTGCGAGTAAGCTGGCTTACAGAGATCAAATTAAAGGATAAATTTGGTAAATGTAAGACAGATGACAGAGGAAGTAGAGGGGTAGGTGTAATTGTGCCAGACCCACGAACACAAGATGGTGACCCATCGGCTAGAGTAACGGTAGAAGTGGGAGTGTGTGACTGAAAAGTAGAAAAAAGTCCAGAATTACCTGTCATATGATCCGTGGCTCCAGAGTCAATGACCCATTTGGAAGATGAGGAAATAAGACACGTATTTGGATTACCTGAATCAGCAATAGCGGTGACAGAGTGAGAGGAAGACTTTAGTGATTCTTGATACTGTGAGAACTTGGCAAATTCATCGACAGAGAGAAGAATTGACTTTTCAGAAGTCTCATTAGTGGATGCAACATGGGCCGAGTGAGCTTTCTGAGTCCTGTACTGGAGCTTTCTACAATCACGCTTCGTATGTCCTGGCTTGTGACAGTAATAACACACAATTCCTCCAGAAACTTGTGTTCGAGTTTCAAACCCTTGCGAGCCGCCTCCGTTGTTTCCACGTTGATTGGTTGATCTTACAGGCTCATAATTATTATTTCGACTGACCAGAGCACCACTGATTTGAACAGGTGGAGTACCTTCTGTGCGGAGTACTCGACTAAATACTTCTTGTAAAGATGAGATCTCAGAACCAGAAAGAACTTGTGACTTAGCAGTCTCAAAGTCGGAGGAAAGGCCAGCAAGAAAACTCATGACCGCCATTTGCTCTCGTTGGCGTTGTTGAACCTTTATATCAGGGCTAAAAGGCAGTAACATATTAAGCTCCTCATAAGTCTTCTTAAATTCCATAAAATAATTCGTAAGAGACTTATCTTGTTTTTCTGCACGGTAAAACGCTGTGCACACCTCAAACATGCGAGAAAGGTTCCCTTTACCAGAATACAAGAAATCCAAATAATCCATCAACTCTTTAACAAACTCACAGTGATTGATCAGGCCAATTACCTCGCCATCAATGGAATTTCGAATTTGTAGGAATAAACGAGCATCCTCCCTAAGCCACGTATGCTTTGAATCATCTGTAGGAGGATCGTCGGTCAAATGAGTGTCTTTGTCAATACTTCGTAGATAAAGTCGAACGGTCTTGCTCCAATCCAAATAATTTGCACCATTAAGTTTATGGTCCGTGATTTTTGACATCACAGGTACCATATCTGATGCAACAATGGGTTTTTTCTCAGCCATAACTTCAAAATAGAGATATAAGGCACTAAGTACAAGAAGGCCCAACAAGCCCAATAGCCAAAATAGTCCACCTAAAATCAGTCCACAAAATTAATTTCAGACCCAAAAGTAGTTACTAAAATCAGCCCACAAATGCAGAATGGGCCTAAGCCCACTCCAACACAATCCTAAAAAAAAAATCAGCCTACCAACACAACCCACTCCAACAAAGCCCACTCCAACGCAGGCCAACCCTCAAACGGAGACTCAATAGCGTTCCAGAATGGCCAGAACAGAAGCAAGCGTCGGATGCATAACCCGCGTCGATTGCTCACAGAAAAACGCCGGAAAGGAGACTCCGTTGCTCACCCAGAAGTCGACTGGCCGCGAATTGCTCTAAATCACGTCGAGCACACACACAGGACGCAGGAATCGCGTCGATTACTCGCACCGACAATCGCGCACAGAGATGCTGGAGAAGAATTGAGGAACAACAGATGATTCAGTAATTTCTTCTATAGGTATGGCTCTGATACCATGTGAAAAACGAAAGAAGAGAATTCACTTTTATATATATTCGATTGGTAAGGAGAATACATGTATATATACAAAACCTAGAAAACTATCTTAGGTAAGTATCTAAATTAGGCAACAAAAATAAATCTAATTAGCTAGCTATAAATAACATATTACAATCCATAATTACACCTTGTAACAAATAGGAAACTAAGACAGCTAAACATAATTAAATAAATACAAATGATACATGTGAAAGTCAACTTGAGATCACTCGCGTTTGTCCTACAGAATTATACTGAATCTGTGAATATCATAATTAGTTGCTGAATGGGCCTGGAAATGTTATTGTTGCATAGTTCTTGGATGTCTAAAAATACCTCTTTAGTAGGGAAGTGGCTGTAGCGATTTAATCTCAGTCCCGTGTGGGCTGAAGTTAGAGAGAATTTCATGTTCAAGTTATATTAACACTTCGTTTTTACATTTGTTCAATACAAAAATTGTAGACGATTTCTTGGCTCTTTTCTGGGGCATTCCTTTCCCAGTCTTTGTACAGGCCATTGTAGGTTATCCTATCTACATGGTCCCTCAATCTCAAGTATTTCTTTATATGAATGGAGAAGCACTCTTCTGGGATCTCCATTCCCCTAGGAATCTCTTGGAGGGGGGTATCTGGTGAGTCGTCATGGTTGTTGCAGTTCTATCTCCAGCTCTATGCCTGATTTTAGAATATGGTTAAGCGATAGGTCCTAGACATGATCTTACCGTCCTTTTCTCTACATAAAGTAACTACAAAAGCTAAAGTCCCCTTTAAGATCAAAGCTTTCATTTCGATTCATAAAACTTAGTCTGGATTTTTTGTTTGATGTGTAATGTTCATTTCAGATAAATTATCTAGAAAACTTTAGAATAATTATTTAATATATGTAATAAGTGTGGGTTCGTCTTGCTGTTTGCAATTTCCTAGTCCAAATTTTGTTTGGATTTTTGACTAAACAAACATGAGAAAATCCTATGATAGTATGCTTGTTGCGTGATGACCTAGGTGATTTGGATGGAGATAAATGCGAGAAGTTATGATAAACTTATCTGCCACTGTTTTGATATCTTATGGAGCTTTCTTTCTTTTTTTCTTTTTTTGTCTGGGCTCTAGCATCAGGCGCCTTCATGTATTCAGTTTCCAATGTTGCTCTCAAATGACCATGTGAAACACACACACTCACAAACATGGACATTCATACTCATGCACAAGCCAGCACTGACACATGCGAGCAGAACACTAGCAATTTATGATAATCTTTGGCTAATAAATGACATATAGTTGCAGGTTGTTCAGTTAACAAAGTTCGATTACAGGCTTTCCAGTGACCTTGATGAAGACCTCCAAAAGTTGCGTTGCCGGGTAAATTATCATGCTTTAAGGTTTACTAAACCCTTAAGGAATCTGGGTCAGAGGCTTGTGATGCGAATGCGGAAGATGGCAAAACGTTTTATTGCAATTCACTTGAGGTTTGTAATTCTTGCGAAGTTATAGAAGTTTTTATTTTGCTTGGTTTTCAACTTATGGGAGTTCAATGCATTAAATGTGAAGTCGACTGTTTTGGAGAAAAATATTATTCTTTTTCTATTTTATTCTCTTAGGTTTTACATGTATATATACACAAGCCACTTATATTATTTATAGGACAAGTCCCTATAAATAAGATTCTATCAATTAGGGTTAAGTAATTTACTTCCTATTCTAAATAGTGTGTAACACTCCCCCTCAAGTTGGAGCATAGATGTTTATCATGCACAGCTTGTTACAAAGATAATCAACCCGAACCCCATTTATCGCCTTTGTGAAGATATNCGAACCCCATTTAGAGCCTTTGTGAAGATATCTCCCAATTGTTCTTCTGTTTTCACATACCCTGTAGAAACCAAACCTTGCTGAATCTTCTCACGCAATAGACTTTGGTGTTTGTGTATCAAGAATGTATAGGCCTCCAGACTCATGTCCTTTATCAATAATCTTCTTTGTCATAAGATCCTGAAACAAACAAAAATTAGGATAGAATGAGACACAACAATTAATGGAACGAGTGAGTTTACAGACAGAGACTAGATTAAAAGACAGGTTAGGTAAACGCAAAACAAAATGTAAAGGAATTGAGGGTTTTGGAATAATTGTGCCAGATCCCAGAACGTGAGATGTAGACCCATCTGCTAAAGTAACTGTAGAACTAGGCGCATGTGAAGGAAGAAAACAGACTAGAATTACCTGTCATGTGATCCGTGGCACCAGAATCAATGACCCATTTGGAAGATGAGGACACAGGCATGTGTTCATGTTGCCTGAATCAGCGATGGCAGTAGTAGGAGTAGATGAAGACTTTAGAGAATTCTGATAATGTGAAAACTTGGCATACTCATCTGTAGATATTAGAATAGGCTCAGAAGCGTCATTGGTAGAGGCAACATGGGCTGACTGGTGCAACTGAGTCTTGCGCTGCAACTTTCTACAATCTCTCTTCACATGTCCTGGCTTTTGACAATAATGACATACAATACCTCCCGAATCTCGTCCCCGAATACCAGAATTTCGATCATAGTTACTTGAGTTTTCCCCTTTATTGGCACTTCTAAATGGCTGTTTCCCAAATTCAAAGGTGCGACTGACAAGAGCACTATTAGATTGAGTAGGAGCTGAATTTTCCGTGCGGAGTACCCTACTAAAAACTTCCTCCAAAGAGGATATCTCAGGACTAGAAAGAATTTGAGATTTAGCAGACGCGCGGAGTACTAAAGACTTCTTCCAATGACGATATCTCGGGGTTGGAAAGAATTTGAGATTTAACATTCTCAAACTCAGAAGGAAGGCCAGCCAAGATGCTCATAACCGCCATCTTTTCTCTCTGAGCTTGCTGCACCTTAACATCAGTACTGTCGGAAGTACCATATTAAGCTCCTCATGAGTCTTCTTAAAATCCATAAAGTAGTCCGTAAGAGATCTGTCACCTTTTTCTACACGGTAAAAGGCTTGGCACACCTCATAAATGTGGTTGATATTTCCCTTGCCAGAATACACAAACTCCAAGTAATTCATTAATTCTTTCACAAATTCATAATGATTTATCAAACCAACAACCTCACTATCAATAGAATTACGTATTTGCACAAACAAACGAGCATCCTCTCTTAACCATGAGACTTTCGAGCTATCACTAGGTGGCTCATCAGTTAAGTGATTATCCATACCAATACTCCGCAAATACAACCTAACAGTTTTACTCCAATCTAAATAATTAGATCTAGTAAGTTTATGTTCCGTGATTTTTGACATCGTAGGAATCACATCAGACATAACAACAGACGTCTTTTCATCCATATTACCAAGTATCAGGTAAATAACAGAGAAAAAATCACGACAAAATCAAAATACTTATCAGGTAAATAACAGAGAAAAAATCACGACAAAATCAAAATACTTAAAGAACTCGAACCTGTCCCCAAAGGAGGTCCCACACTACTGAATTAGCTGGGCAATAACAAGAACCCCGAACACACCCCGAAAACAAACACCTTGAACACTGCAAATTCCAGGTGACCAAAACTTCAAACCACGAGCTGGGCAAAGAAACAAGTCAGAGCTTGGCAAACAAACAAGTCAGAGCTGCCCCAACAATGTACAGTAACACAACGATTGTCAACACCCAGAAACCTTGAACTGGATACTGGCTAGGAATGCTTTTCAAAAAAATGTCGATAGCAAGCAGAGTGTGATAAATCCAGAAAACATAGCTACAGAGGCGGAGGCTGTAGCTCACGAAAAAGGAGGCGCCGGAAGAGGGAATGGGACGACGGCGCGACTGCAGCTCGCGACGGAAAAAGGGGACGACGGCGCGACTGCAGCTCTTGAAACTCTAGCTGACCGGCGGCCGGATGTGACAGCAGAGGCGGCGACTACTGCTCGGAACCCTAGCGACGACGACCGGTGAGAATGAGGCCAAGATTGTCGATATTTGCATGAGCCAATGGCTCTGATACCATGAAATCGACTGTTTTGGAGAAAAATATTATTCTTTTTCTATTTTACTCTCTTAGGTTTTACATGTATATATATATACAAGCCACTTATATTATTTATAGGACAAGTCCCTATAAATAAGATTCTATCAATTAGGGTTAAGTAATTTACTTCCTATTCTAAATAGTCTGTAACAAAATGTATATCATAATTCTTTTTCAGTTTCATTTTACTTAGTTTGCAAGCAATCCAGGTGAACTTGAAGGAAGCTTTTCCCAATAAGTCCTTTCTAATGAAGATTCTGAATAAGGATTTAATAAGGTGGTTTTGTGATGTATTGCAATCATGTGTTGCTTAACATGGAAAAGAATGATCACTGATGAAAGAGAACATTGAAATTTCTTCCGCTTTTCATCACATCCCCATATCCTGCTGTAAAAGGGACTCAAAGCATTGTTTCTTGTAGTTTATCATAACTTGTCTGATTGATTGTCTAAAATAAATTTCTGGAAGACCTAAAATTCATTTTGTTTGGTAATTAAAGAGTATGAACTTTGTTTTCTACTAGCTTCAACCATCCTGTCACTTCCAAAGAAAGAAAAGAAAAAAAGAAAACTCTCGGTTAATATAATGGTTATTTTCTACTAGCTTCAACCATCCTGTCATTTCAACCAGTTTTGATCTATGAACTCACAGTATACCATTCATAGAAATGCTGTTTATCCCAGCTACCTAAAAGGAATAGATTCATGCTCAGTTAATATAACGGTTGTTTATTGATCCCCAACCATACAATGCTTCTATACAAAGAGGTAAATTATCCTCTTGAACTTTTGAGGTCATCAATTGTTTTTGAAATTAATGACCTGTTGATTTTGATTACCATTGGTAATTTGGAATTTGATTCACATTTGTCTGGTAGAATTGTAGAATCTTGCAAATTTTATATCAGAAGAATGAACTAGAAATTGGGACAGAAAGCATGAATAATTCAGGAAAAGTATCTAAGAAATTTTAACTAGGGCTGTAAATGGATCGGATATGAATCGGATCTGCCTATATCCGATCCGATCCGATAAGAAAATTTATCCGATCCGATCCGATAATCCAACGAATATTTAATTGCTAAATTCATATCCGATTTGCAATGTTATTGGATATCCGATCCGATAATCAGATCTGAAATTAATAAAAATTAGGGAAAATTTTTTGAACTAACTTGAGGCCTATCTATTTTTCCTAGCAAACCCAATAGTAACTTCTGCCATCATGATATTCCTTTTTAAAGGAGAGATTATCTTCTAGTTTTCTATTGACATTCGATGTAGGATAAGTTAAAATTGAATTTTAATTTTTGAATATAAATATTTTATTTCATTATTTCTATTAACAAATCAAATTATTTGTTACATATTAATTATTAGTTTTTGAAATTGTAAAATTAATTACAATAATAAATTTAATTAAGAAAATATAGATATTTATTTATTTTAAATTAGTAAACTAAAATTAGAAAAATATTGGTTGAAATCAATTTTTTTTT